GATCAGATCGAAATGACAATGGCGGCTTTCAATAGCGTCTCTCTAAAACTCACTAACCTCAAATTTCCAAAGCTGTTGATAGTTTGAGTTTTTGGGGGTTTTTTTTAATTAGTTAATTCGATGACTCCCCTTTCGGGTGAAACTTTCAGTTCATATTTATGTAACTTAAATTCAAATCCAATGTCAAAACTCAATGGCGCATATTACTTGACCTTCCCCAAGCCCGTCCTTGACCCTATTGATTCAAACAAAGCAACCACAACAAAACATCGCCCAAGTTTCATCTCCTTTGATCAACGAAACTTTTCAATGGTTAAAAATGAGGACTCGTCAGTTTTTGTAATGGCTCCGTCATCATCTTCTGGATTTAAAGTCAGGGTGAGGGGGGGGGGTGGAGTATTCGGAACGTTTGGTTTTCACAAGGTGAAGGTCATGTCTATTAGGACAAGACCTTTAAAAAACAATTATTGTAAGGTTAAAATGACAACTAAAATGATACTCTAGTCACAGACGACCAGTACGCGGCCATACTGAGCTTGTACTCCGTTATCGGTTTAATGACGTCATTGTTCGGACTTGTCACCAACGTCATCAACTTCAAAATATTTGCTATCATGGCAACAGAGAACGGCATCACGGTGTCATTCTTATTTTTGTCGTGTGCTGAATTCGTCTGCTTTTTGGCGGCGCTTGGGCAAGAACTGTCCGTTGTCTGTGGTGTCACAGAACTATTGAGTAAACACAAAATTTCACTCTACAATTATCCCACCGCTTTTGGAATTTACTTTGGAAGTATTCGCACTTGCCTGTTTACAATTCCTGTTTTGATTACATTGTACCTATTCATAGCTAAGTGTGTGTGTGCTGTCAAACCGTTACATTTCAAAAACATGGTTTCGGTGAGGGCAACCGTGATCATTATGTCCGGCATATGCGTTTGTGCAGTTCTTAGTTATCTGCCGATAATTTGCACAACTGGAATCATGTGGGTCCACGATGAGAAGACTAACGCGTCACGCATCACCCTATAGGGATATCATTAAAAACGTCGTTTGGACCGCCAGAGATTCAGTCCCAAGCATCGCGTCTCAGGTCATCGTCATCGTCTGCATCTATTTAATGATCGGATCTCTAAGGAAAGCGGCCCGGTTTAGAGGGTTGTCATCATCAGGAACAATTTTAGAACCGTCGAAAAATAGCCACGGAAGAACTAACAAAAATAACGAACAGTGCAGGACCGGACGGCGCGGAGGTGCAGGCAATCAGACAGGTGGTCGTCATCTCGGTGGTCTACATTGTTGGTAACACGCCTAAGATTGCGATCATCCTGGCGTCGTCCGTTGTACCGGATCTCAATCTGGGTCACCGCTTCCAGGGCCTGTACCAATCGTTCTGACCAACACGATTTAACTCATCGAGATGATTTTCTCAGCTGTCAATATCACTATTTATTATAATTATAATTCTAAATTTAAGAACCGCTGCAGATCTCTCATTTTCACTCTCATGGAAAACGTGTAAAGTTTAACTCCCCCTACTCCCCCCCCCCCACAATATACGCCACACAGCAGGCGACAGCATTACTTCTTTACATTGGTTCCCCTTATTTTTATAGTTTTTCGCGTTCTACTTTGTTCTGTTCTAACTATAGTACTAACGAATGTGTTGAACTTAAATTGCTTTAATTGTAAAATGTGTCTCGGTAAAAATATGTTTTCGTGTAAGTGCTGAAAACAACTATGAACAATGTTGAAAAAAAATCATTTATATCGAGCAATAAAAGACTCTTATCTTATCCATGGATCTAAATACTGTTTAAGAATGGTTTATTATGAATTAGTGAGACTCTGAAATTATTTGATTCTCGTTTTTGTTTATTTATCTTTGTTAAAAGTAGTTTATTTCCAAGTGAAAAGATAAAACCCAGCAGGCTGAGCAAACTATTGTGTTTAAGAACTTTAGAAGAACTTTAGGAAATTAAAATGACATTGGTTTTTGGTTTCAGTGCTACATTAAATTTCAACATTTTACCTTAAGATTTTAAAGGAGTCGATAAGGATAAAGATATTTTTTTAAACTTTAGTATCTTAAATTGTACGTGGCCCTCTAGTTATAATTCTTCGAGCAGCAAGTGGTTCTTGTGGAATCTTTCGACTGTATGCAATGGCGCATCCTCGCAGGTACATTAGGTGAGTTTTGAGATCCTTATTATATTGATTCGCGAGCTACATTGAAAACTTTAAAAAAGTAAAGACACAAAACTTATCAGATTTAACAAAAATACGACCTACCTGATACTGTAAAGTTTCAAGTGAGGCTTTTTGCAGATGACTGTCTTGTCTACAGAGAGACGAAAGATTAAGATGACCACCTCCAAGCAGATTTGAAGTGCCTTATGAATTGGGAGGACAATGGGGCATGAAATTTAATGAAACCGAATTCTACACAATGAGCATCTCAAAAAAACAAACATAAAAACATCACCGTATATGAACTCTCTAAACAAGACCATTCTCAAACAAGTATCAAATAATCCATACCTTGGAAATTTCTTCCCGAATAACCTAAAATGGTCAACCAATATAAACAAAATTTCAAAAAATCCAACGCCACACTAGGTTTTATTCGAAGAAATCTGCGCCACTGACCAACCTCCTGCAAAGGATTTGCCTATCTTGCACTCGTCCGTCCACTACTAGAAATGGTGCGATCATCTGGGACCCACACCTTAAGCAGGACATGGACAAGATGGAGCGAATCCAACGTAACGCAGCGCGCTTCATCGCAAGTGACTACGAATCCACCACTCCTGGCTTCGTCACTGGCCTCTTAAAAAGATTTGACACCCCCCTCCCTCAAAGACACACGAGAAAAGCTCCGCCTAACATTCTTATAAAAAGGGGTCATGGGGCTAGTGCTGCCATCCCAGCAAACACATATCTCACCCTACAGAAGCCAGGTCAATTAATCAGAGCTAAACGCTCACTTAACACTGACTTCACCTCTAACAACCCCATAAGCAATTACATCCGGAACAATAGCAAATGCTTCACTGTGCCTCGGTGTGGCACAGAGCAATATAAACAATCATTCTTCCCAAAAAGAATAATCGCCTGGAATCACCTGGCCAATGCCGCCGTGGCCCCGACATCACTCGAGAACTTCAATGCTGCCCTGTCATCTTCTTTGGGCCGTTAGGATAGCAGCATCGCTTCCCCAACCGTTGCACATATGATAGTACATGGATACATGAACGTACCCTACCAGAACCAGAGATGGCCTTTTTTACAGATTGGGAAGCTAGTGAGTTACCATATTGCGAAAATCTAAAACACAATGATCATGTACTCTGAAACCAAATAGCTCCGTTACATTTTGAAGTGTGGTTTGCAACAACTTCCTAGCCAGGGTCTACGATTGTCATGCCCTAATGGGCCGGATAGCTTACTAGAGAAAATTATTCAAATATTTTTTTTTTAAAATAACACTTAAGGCTATAAATATAAATCGCAATTTCAATAAACCTACTAGTTTTGCCTACATTTCATACAAGTCTAACAAAGAACACAATAAATGGGCCTACAGTGTATGGACATCGGGATAGTATCTTTAACGCGCGAGAGAGCCCGATGCCTATGGGAAGAAGAAGTAGAAGAAAAAAACAAGTTCATTCAGTAGTTTTGTTTTGAGATGCTATTGCGTCAACAAGAATTAATTAAAGGTCGTCCTTGGCTGTTGGCGAAATGGAAACATGGCAGGAGTTCGTGTGGATGGGGAAATCGTCAAGTCGGTAGCCATCACGTGCCTTTGTTGTGCATTGAATCGAAATTCGAGTTCCAGCGACATCCCAACACAACAGGAGAGGAAGCAAAAAATATGCAACTATTCTGATGATGCAATCATCATTTAGTTTTTTTTTTACACAGTGTCTTAAATTGGCGGCTAATGTCGCATGCGCGATTATTACATTACATGTGTTGTAAATGGAGTATATGGAGTATATACATCTTCACATTCAAAGAGATGTGTGTTCATTGGAGAGCTATTTGATTTGATCGTTCGTGTAATGGATTTTAATTGATTATAAATATCAGACAATATGCGCCATAATGTGAGATCATTCGCGATCTTGACCTCCTCTGTTGTGTAACATGCAATCTATCAAGTGCGGTAATTCTAATGATCTTTATGTGTGTACCGAATGGATCTTTTAACTGATCAATCGTGTACCCGGTTAATCAATACTGAAGTGTAAAAAGTGAACTCATGGAATCAAATACGTTGTTAATATTATTTACTTCAACGTTATTAGAACTCATTACATTCTATTCATAGAGGGGTGGTGCTTAGAGACACACAATTTTACAATGAAAGAAAATGCACCAATGACAAATACATTACCTGGTCACATCGCCACTTCAATATTTGCCCTGATAAGCGTTTCAGTTCATGCCTATTTGCGCCACCTGAAAACGATTAACTGGCGATCTATAATATTACTTTCAAGACGTTGTCTGGTCTGTACGCCGCATATTTCGTTTCGGATCAGAAGTGTCTAATCTTCTGTTAAAATGGCTACTGAATCAATCAGTTCTATGAGGATGTGATTTTCCATCAATTTAATTTAACCGATAAGGGATTGTTTCATGTCACTGTAAAATATCGAGTGATGAAAGACTTTGTTGTTTCTTTTATTGTATAAATTTTGTGCTCATTTTTTTTCAATTTAAAATTTATTCCGACATGTAACAGTATTACATTTTAAAAAACACAAAGTCTTTATCCGTCTGTCGCAAGCCAACAATATAATTATCATTAGTTATACATGGCTTGGACTACGAATTAGTCCAACAGAACTTTATCAATTCGCTTTCGTTTCTCTATCTCTCTTTTCAATGGATACCATGACTAACAAAAGCAATTTGTTTCAAAGTGGCATCTATAACAAAATTGTAAGTGACATGTGTAATGAAACCTTTGTTGAGCAGACTCTCCAAGATTTAGTGTCTGATGACCAGTTTGCGGCCATTGAAGGCCTCTACTCTGCAGTCGGCACCATCGTTTCCATAATTGGCCTGGTGACAAACGCAATAACGATAAAAACCTTTGTGGCCATGGGAGCAGACGACGGAGTTACGGTGTCCTTCTTGTGCCTGTCGTCTGCAGAATTCGTTTGCTTCTTGGCCTTGTTGGGCCAGGAGCTATCGATGACCCTCTGGGTGATAGAGATGATCAGCGGCTATCGAATTGTGTTTTTTATTCAACCGATGGCTTTCAACAACTTCTTTGGCAATATTCGCAATTGTCTCTTCACTATTCCAGTCCTGATGACAGTCTACCTTTCAGTGGCTAAATGCATGTGCGTTGTTAAACCCTTACATTTTAAAAACATGTTTTCCGTGAGACAGACCTTGTGGATTATGGCAGGTTTTTGCGTTTTTGCCATCGTTAGCTACGTGCCTATCTTTGCTAGTATTGGCGTCCCCGAGCTATACGATGGGAACATAAACAAAACTAGACCCATGCTGTGGATATCCCCAGAGCTGGACGTCATTAAAAATGTTGTATGGACCATGAGAGATTCGGTACCCTGTTTTGCGTCTGAGGTTATCATCATCATATGTATCTACGTCATGTCTGACAGTCTGATGCGTGCTACCAAGTTCCGGGCCTCGTCAACATCAGGAGGTATGTCGGCAAGCATACGAGATAGTCATCATAAGTATGGTAAGCACGTCAAAGGAAATACCAGCCAGCTTGGAGGCAGCGAATTGCAGGTGATTAAGCAGGTGGTTCTCATCTCAGTCGTATACATTGTCGGCAACACACCGAAAATTGTCGTATTCCTGGCCATGTCTGTTGTGCCAGATTTAAGAATTGGTCAGCGACATCAAAATCTGGTCGTTGTAATCGCCAACACCAGGGAACTGATTGAGATGATCATGTCGGCCGTCAACATCTTTATCTACTACGAATACAACTCTAAGTTTAGGAGCTTGTGTAAATATTGACTTTTAAATCGGTTTCTCCTTCAACTTACAATACTTCATGCTGGAAGCAGATCTTATTGGAAACTAATTTTTTACGAAGTACATAACTAACAATATATATTGTTTGTTCCTTTTCATATTTTACCTAATGGCAAACATTTTAAAACTTTGGCTCTTGTGGTTCAAAATCCAAATATGATTTAAAAAGAATCTTAAAATATCATTTCATAAAGTCTCCATAAAGAAACAGAATTTAAATGTATGGGAACACATTTTTAATAAACAAAATGACGAAATGAAAGCGGTGTGTCGGAGTTCACGGATCTCATTTCTCCCCTCCTCCTCTCACACTCCGCTAAACATATATATTTGAACAAATCCCTTTTGCACGTACCAACTAGGATGGCATTGGAATGGCGTCTCCATCAGAGACGCGAAGGCATTTTGACGAAGCAATTGATCATTCTTACACGAGCTAACTGACCTCCACCCTCTAAAGAAGTTTCAAATGTATGTGTCGTCACCCTAACCATATCATCACAGTATGCCCCTTGGTAAGGTTCGGTTAAGAGGAAACAGGTTATTGTTGTGATGTTACAAGCCAGTGTATTAAAATCTACGGAACTCGTTGCACAGATACGATATGAGTAGAGACAGAATGGCTTCGTTGGACTACTTCCTTTAACAGCTGTAGGGACACTCTGGTATCTGACTAAGAGCAATCGACAACATCTGTAATCAAAATCGTCGGCGTTCTATATGTTAAACCAAATGTTAATCCTTTATGGTAATCCTTTATGGTAACCCTCTATATTAATCCTTTATGTTAACATTTTGTCGTAACCAACTATGTTAACCTTTTATTTTAACCCTTTGTCTTTACCATCTATATTAACCCATTGTCTTAACCATCGAAATTAACCCTTTATGTTAACCCTTTGTCAAAATCTTCTATGTTAACCCTTTGTCTCAACCATCGATGTTAACCCTTTGTATCTGCTAACTGTAGTTCCTGGTACCATATACGATGATTTTGTTTCCGAAATGTAAAAAGAAAATGAAAAACAACTCTGCTGACGACTTGCATACCGGTTTCCCCCAAGTCTGATGGAGCTATCTCCCTGCTGATCTAAATGTAAGAGAAATTACGGGGTGGGGGGTGGGGTGGGGAGAACTGCATTTAGGTTTATGCAGTAAGAAATATACAAAGGCGTAGAAAACAAAACTTAAAGATAAGAGCACACACAAAATTGGACGGTTCAGCGCACACGCCTTTTACAGCAAAGAAAACACAGAGACAAACACTTGCTCCTGTCAACTATATAACCATACAGCAAGCTAAGAGTGTTGGCCCCTTTGTATATTTCTTTCAATGTTATCATGTATGCATTTATCATAGTAGAAGAAAAGTGATTTTCTTTTCATTGGTAATAAGCCAAAATTGTTTACTTTCAATGTAGATGAAGACAATTATTACTTATAATGAATCATTTACATTAACGGTATTGAAAGTAGGCAGCATCAATCTATTCGTAGGTCAGGCTGACATCTATTCCAACTTCATTGTTATACTTTTAGTTGTTAAACGTTTCTTCAGCCGGAGACGGAATTTGAAACAATAAATGTAACAGTAATTTTTTTTTTTTAAATAAAAAAAAAAATAATAAACTACACCATGGCGGTCCATGTGTTCGATTACGTGAAGGAATTGATGCTTGTTTAAACACGTGATCATTCAAACATATTCAGTAACTTTACGTTTTAAAGGAAAAAAATGAAAGTTAAACATGGCTGCTTGACATTAGTTTTGGTTGCTTGTCGAACAGTAGTGTTCTTAATAACGTGAATATCGAATGGGCGACTATTAGATAGATATATTTTTTTATTTTTTTTAAACCCCTCTCAGCAGCGTTTTAACTGAAATCAATATCAACGTTACGACCACAAATACACCTCGTTTTAAACAGCGCTTCGTTTCAAGATATTTGAAAAGAAGGGAACATGCTTAGTTCAAGGGAAAAACAAAACAAAACCTTTAAAAAAAAGGATTTTCCCCCACTTCATGTATTCAAGCTCATTCATTGACGTAACCCAACCCCATTCCGAAACAAACCTCCAGCCTTCAGCCCCCCCCCCCAACCGCCACCTTTTTCCTTTCATTTCCCTAAAATAGATTATGGTTTATTATTTTTAACAGATTCTAGAATTTCGTATGTGACACGAATTTCAGGATTGATAAGAGATTGAGGGGGGAAATGATTAAATTCAACTCATTGATTGGTTAAATTTGAGAACCGTTGTGTTTTCATTGGTCATGATGTAAAAATATGAAGTTAAACCGATGCTTGGGGAGAAAATTAAGCCATCAATAAAAAAGAAAGGAAATAAAATAATTAATCTTTATATATATGTGTGTGTGTATGTATGTGTGTGTGTGTTTTAATGTAATATTATTTAATATTTCGATTTATATTGGATATAGATAATCATAGTTAAATACGTATTGATAAAATATTTTCGATCAAAGCATTTCGGCCAATCATTATCAACCACATTTATCCAGCTGACTATGTGATAAATATAAGCTAAAGCCAGCCTCTCTAAAACTACGGACAGCACTTTTTAAAAAACTTACTTCATTTCATCGTTATTTACAATTAACTTCTGGTCTTCTTACTTGAAGTCTTTTGGAATGGACGAACAGGACACAACTTACAGTCTACATAACAACAGTATTCTACACACAGACATCCCACCAACAATAACATTCACCGACACGTTGATCACAGAGGGCCAGTATTTCGTTCTAATGACTGTGTTCAATGCCTTGAATGCAATACTCTCCATGTCTGGAATGGTCGCCAACACAATTAACATAGTAACTTTTCGGAAACTTGATGCACACGATAACTTTCTTATGTGCTTCTTGGTTCTATCGTCTGTCGATTTCCTCTGCAGTTTGTCGGCGTTTATACAACAAGTCGCCATGACATTTTGGATTCTAGAAACAGCGAGCAATAACAAAATAGTTTTTCTTATTGAACCCAGGGCCATGTATGTCATGTTTGGCAATATTCGCTCTTGTCTGTTCAGTGCCCCAGTCCTCATTACGTTATATCTATCCATATCGAAATGTTTGTGCGTTGTCAAACCGTTTAACTTTAAGAACATGTTTTCTTTCAAAAGGACTGTTTGGGTGTTGATGGGTATTTGCACATTTGCACTGGTCAGTTACATTCCGGTGTATGCCAGCACTTGGGTCATCTCCCAATTTGATAAAACTATTAACGCCACGCGCCCCATGTTGTGGCTGACTCCTTACCGGGACGTCATTCGGAACGTCGTGTGGATCATCAGGGATACATTTCCTTCAATGGCTTCGGAAGTGATTATCATTATCTGTGTCACGTTTATGTCTAAAGCTTTGAGGGAAGCAGCGAAATTTCGAGCATCCCTTAAACAGGTGATATTGGAATCAAGTAAAGGAAAAGCGAAGAAAAATGTAGACAATAAATCTGAGGACACGATGAGCTTCTCGGAGCTGCAGCTGATCAAACAGGTCATCGTCGTTGCTTTGATTTTCATTGCCGGCAACACACCCAAGGTTTTTTTGTTTACAGCATTGGCAGCGGTACCTGATCTGAATTTTGGAAAACGTTACCAAAATTTTTACCTGGTCCTGATGTACTCGAGAGAAGTCATCGAGAATCTCATTTCGGCCGCAAATTTTATCGTGTATTATAAATACAACTCAAAATACAGGAAGTGCTGCCCTTTGAGATACTATAAAAGTGTATTATAACACAACTAACAGTACAGACGCTGCTGCCCCTTGAGAGATTATATGTGTGTATTATACATCAACTCAAAATGAAGGCAGAGCTGCGCTTTGAGAAATGATATGTGTATAAAACATTTCAAGCCAAAATGTTCTTGTTTTTGATTCTGGCTACTAATTAAAGCATAACTTAAATTACTTTTTTAATGAGATAAATTGTTTTTGTTTCCTTAAGCAAGTCGAGACATTTTTTATTTGTTTTCTTCTTCGTTTTAAGTTAGTTATTATTTGCAATTATCTATTTAATTTTTTATTTTATTTTATATTTCTTCTTTATTATTATTTTTTTTTTTTAAATTTTTACTCATTTTTAAAAATACCAGTTTAAAAGGCTGCTAATTATTTTGTGATTTTTTTAGCATATTTTTTTCTTCTTTGTTTCTTTCTATTCCAAGCCGCATTCCTGAACAATTTAAGAAATAAATCTTTTCGTATTTTTTTAAAGCCTTGTCTCAAAATACAACTGTTGAACTTGAATGCGAATTTTTCCGAATATTTGAATGAAATTTTGGTGGAACGGAAGTTTATTCCAACGGAAATTGTGTTCGAATTATGCTCGTGCCGTTATACCGGATAATCGTTAATTCAGACTGGAGTGTCAGCCATGTTGATTTCTGTAAACGAAGAGTTTTCATTTCGTTAACTTGTTATCCAGTGTTGGCAGGTAAATAAAGAACTTTGTTATTTTCACCCGATGTTTTTTCTGTTGCTCGTCGTCATCCGCTGTGGATGGAAGGACGAGAGCATACCCTAGAATTGTGTTGTCCCCCTAGACAACACGGAGCCTCTCGAATTCCACGTTCAGTAAACGCATATTCTGCAGAAGTCTGTTCACAGCTAACTCTTCTTAAAAAGGAAGTTCTCTACCATGCTCATGGTCAACAGAATCGTCTCTGATATTCGACAAAGTCCTAACTCATCGCAGCTTGTGTCAGCTTGACTTTGGAGGCACACTGGAGCCTTCCACGTCATCGGATGCGAATCTTGAGCTTTCCGGAATTTCCGGGAAAAGTCGTCAAATCGCTTTTGGCCCCCAGGCTGGGTCCGAAAAAAAATTTGAGGTCACCCGGTTGGTTCAAACGAAACCGATTTAAGCTGTCCAGTTTTCCGGATCCGAAAAATGTGTGTATTCTCCAGATGTCCATACAAACTTTACTAATGTTTGTCACGACTCATCCAAGAGTATTATTATAAACAATAAAGCTAGTTTGACCAACTCCAGCCAATTTCCTGCTTGAACTGCGTTTTCATGAGCTTTGTCGCCAGGATCATTCCAAGAAGAGCTCTGCCTCCAGAGGGCGTTCTACAAAGGACTTCAAAGGACTTGAGTGCAAGTTTTGACGACTCTACCCCATAGATTTTACTTCTTCGACACTAGCCAGTTGTTCTCATGACTGCGACAGTAGTTGTTTTGAGTTTTTTTTTTTTGTTTTTTTTTGCGCAAAGGTTCAAGTTTCTAAATCTGAACCTACCGATGTTCATCAAGATTTTATGCCTTTCATATCTGAAGGATCAGTGTCACTGCCAGGTAATTCTTCCAGTCTAAGACCTATCAACACTTTTACACAGGTGCTTTACAGTTATTATGACGCGTTTACATCCCTTGTCTAAAACTATTGCTACAGGGAACAACGTCCTATTCTGAGGCGTAGAGATGGGTTTGAGTGATGTACCTCTACGCCTTATTGATCTAAAGTCCTATCAAGTCTCAGGACCTGTGCGTGTGGGTGTCCGACCAACGTTACCATTGGACGGCATCTCATTGCATCCAGGAAATGACTAAGCGTTTGGGAAAGTGATAGCCGAATCTACCGTTACTCATGAACCTTGTTTGACTGAATTTAAAGATAAACATCCTTAGTGATATCCAGTATGAGATGTTACCAGGGCCATGATTTCAAAGATCTCCGACAAAGAGATTTCTCCATAAGTTTTTAAAAAAAAATCAACCCTGAAATAGTGGTGTAAACAATGAAGAGTAAATGAATCAAAAGACACCTGCTCCGCTGCAGCCTATGGAAGAGCAAACGAGTGATTAGGAAATCGCTAATCTCCGAGAGAGCGCTTTGTCCCAAGAAAAAGTTGAACATATTCCTGTATGCTACCTTTTACAAGATGAAATACTTTCGAGAAAATGGTGGCTTCCATACGCAGCAGCTGACGAAGAATGGAGGATAGCTCATCAAATATTAGTTCATACCACTTTCAAGAATGACGTTCTGAGCTCATCCCATGACTAATCACTTTCAGTCAGCTTGGGAATAAACAAGACTTGCAACAAATAGACTTCGCACATCTCTTTATACCAAAATGAAGAAAAATGTGGTTGATGACTGCAGATCCTGTCCTAATTGTTAAGTAGTGGGCAAACCAAATCAGAAGATACCGGCAGCTCCTCTTCAAACGATTCCAAAATTTGAAGAATCTTATTAATCGTGTGAAAATAGACTGCGTTGGACCTCTGCCAAAACGAATTAAAGTCACCAATACTTGCATGTGTGCAAGACAGTTTCCAGACGCCATTCATCTTCGCAACATCAACACTTCGAAAATCGTCAAAGCTTTGACGAATTTTTATTTTTTTAACATTGTTTTGTCTTCCGAACTCGGTACATTCTGACCAAGGAACCAACTTTAAGGCTGAATTTTTTTTTTAAAGAAGTGATGAACAGCTAGAAATAGAACACTGCTTGTCGACTGCATATCATCATGAGTCGCAGGGAGCACTTGGGAGATTCTATCAGACTTTAAAAATACATTATGAGAACGTACTAGCATGCTACTGTTCGCCGACTGAGAAGCAGTTCAAGAATCACTTGGATTCAGCCCCTTTGAACGGGTGTTTGGCCATACGGTTCCCAGAAACCTTAAACATCCACTGAAGGAATTTTGGAATGTCTTAAAGTTCACAACTTAACATTTAATGCCTGCTATTTGGCTAAATCTCATGTTTAATGATACTCAATCAAAAATGTCACTTTGGTACGATACAAAGGCAAAATTCATATATATTTTTCAAGGGATAAAGCGCATGGTATTTTGCCGATACCAGGACAATCACTGTGAGCTTAGATACTTTGGACCTTTTGAATTTGAGTCCAAAGATAAGGACTTAATTTATATCATATTAACTCCATATCATAAAAAGAAAGAAAAAAAATATGTCATATTATTGTTGAAAGACTTGTGATGATTATTGTCCATCCTCAGAAAATTACTACCCAACTTGAATGGAACACTAAGATATTCATCATTGTCTGAAAATGGTTTTGTTAAATCTGTAAATAACTAGGGGGGAAAACCTGACGGAACAACTCGATTTACTGTCTCGTATTGTCTCCCTTCATATTTCCCCATCTTGCGTATATTTCGAACTATTTTGAACCAGAACGCAGCCTCCACCCCCACCCACCCCAATTCCCCCTCATATGGTACCAAGTCCTGAAAATCGATCGATTGAAGATAACCCATTGCACAAACATTAGTGAAATTAATACAGCTTTTAAAAAAGTCCTCCTTTCAAAAAATGTCTCGCAGGTAATTGTTATTTATTTTAATTGTTGCGTGATTTACTGCAAACTGTACTTACCGAATATAACCGCACCTTCTAATACCCTTAATTACCTAATGCAAAGACGATGATTTTTTTTTTTAAATATCACGACGCTATATTTATTAAGTCGGGTGGTAGCAATGTAAAATGCATGTATTTAAAATAGGAAGACTCAAATCTTGAGCCTGAAATATTTATACAAATGGAAGGTTGTGGTTTGTAAATTATGTATTGATTGTGAATAATTAACACTATCTATAATTAAAGAGCATTTTTTAAAAAAATAACCTAGTTATCAAATTGCAGCTCAACTTGATGTTAATGATGTGACAATTAATAACTCATTCGAATTGGATTTTCTAAGGCCTAGCGACGTCAAACTCTAGAAACTACAATAATATTAACGGAATGCTTTAATCATTTGAAAGAAATTGTTCATTAAAAAAAGGGGGGGGGGGTGAATTTGAGAATAAAATAATTGTTGTAATAGCTATTTTTTAAGAATACGTCATTTTAAAATTACTTTTTAAGAAGATAACACATTTTAACTGGCGATTGTTACATTCCTTTTATAATATCGATGAATGTAAATCGCAACAGTTACAGTAGGAGGCTCATCTTCAGAAGATGTGCACAATGCACGTTACTTAAATCATGACTATTAATATTTCTTTAAGTGTGTATGTATGGCGGTAACGCGCAAAATAAAGTTTTCCCAGAAGTTGGCACTGCTTGGGAATATTTCTTAGCAAGTGCGTTCCTTGAAGTCGAGGTTTGTCAAGTAACTTGAGTAGATGGGAAGTTCGTGCGTTGTTAATGCCGCTATTCTTTAGCGCGCTGCTTCTAATATTTAAAACAGCTATGGAAAAAGTGCTGTATCGATTTATTGCCTTGAATTATTGGACTTCAGAGAGACACACACACACACTTTTTATTTCGGCTATGTAAATCAGTAACTTTTTAAAGGTATGTAAAGGTATTTATATATTAATTTATTATTCAAAAATTGTGTATGTGCCCTTCTATCGGCTGAAAACGATACTGACAATCATGGTCACGGACAACGATGCAAACTTTACCCGCCCTCCACCCCATGACTTTAACTTGACATCCACAAACACCCCAGGGATCAGTTTACCCACTGCAGTTTCATCCATCGACAGCCTCATTTCCGATGACCAGTACGCCGTCGTGATGACCGCCTACTCCGCGTTCGGTATCGTCGTGTCCTTGTTCGGCCTCGTCACCAACGCCGTCAACATTAAAACGTTCGTTGCCATGGGGACACAAGATGGCGTCACGGTGTCCTTCCTCTTCCTATCGTCTGCCGAGCTCGTCTGTTTCTCGGCGACGCTCGGACAGCAACTGAGCATGGCGTTGTGGGTCACTGAAATCTTCAGCCACTACACGACAGTCATCCCGTATCACCCCATGATCTTTAACCTCTGTTTCGCCAACATCCGCAACTGCCTGTTCACCATCCCGGTGGTAATCACCCTCTACGTATCCGTGATGAAGTGCATGTGCGTGGTCAGACCCTTGCATTTCAAAAACATGTTCTCTAAAACCAGAACGATGTGGGTCATGTCAGCGATTTGCGTCTTTGCGGTCGTGAGCTATCTGCCCATCTTTGCCACCACTGGGGTCACGCGGCAGTATGATAAAAATATCAGCAGAACCCGACCCATGTTCTGGTCATCGCCCCACAGAGATCTCATTAAAAGTATCGTGTGGACGGCCAGGGATTCCTTCCCCGCGGTGGTGTCACAGATCATCGTCGTCGCCTGCATCTACGTCATGTCCAGGACTTTGATTCGCGCAGCTCGGTTCCAGGGACTCCCATCACGACGTGAGGACGAGGCTGGGTAGCACGGAGCTGCAGGTGATCAGGCAGGTTGTGGTCATCTCCGTCATCTACATCGTGGGCAACACGCCCAAGGTGGCTGTATTCGTAGCGCTGTATGTCGTCCCCGACTTGACCGTTGGTAAACGCTATCAGAATGTGTACGCCATTCTAATGAACAGCAGGGAGCTTGTTGAAAACTGCGTGTCCGCTGTTAATATCATAATTTAGTACAGTTGCAACTCCAAGTTTAGGCGCTTCTGTAAATTTTGAAAATTAATTTCAATGTAAACTTTATAGAATTCAATCGACTTCTGGTTTGCTTAAAATAAATCATTATGAATAATGCATACCAGAAAATAGTTTTCTTCATTCATTAAAAGATATTGATACGTTTGTTTGTGGACGGGTCGATCGATCACAAGAAAACCAAACAATGGCTCGCAACCAAATGTGACTTGATTATTCCTTCTGACCTAACGATGGTTCATAGAAAGTTTGGTCAAAATCCCCTTCTCCCAAAAACTGTATTTTTTTTTAAAGCGTAAAATGTAGAGGCTAAAAACTATTTTTAAAAAATGTTCATTTGGTTTCGAGGGACGCTCTAGTTAACTTGTTGTTGGCGTTAGAATTTTTTAATTTAATTAGAATTAACATGAACGATTTTGTGTGTGTTTGCAGCTTTGCCAGTTCCTAATTTATTTTTAAATTTCAGTTACCAGAACATTCACAAAAGTCTCGGGACATGGATTTGTTTTGTAGCATCACATAACCAATGTGTATTTATCATTCTTTCCTAATCCTTTATATCAAATGCGCTTTTGTTCGTGTGGTTCTTTCTGGCTGGGAGTGTGGCAAAATCTTCGGACGGCTCATTCCCGTCAACCTATCGAGCTGAAACTTGCCACATAGACTCGTTGCCGATGACAAAATATTCTTTCAAATTTTCAGCCCCCACGCCCAACCCCTCAAAAATCTGTTCTTCCTGCTTTTCAAGGGGAAGATGAAGGAAATATGATGCCACAGATTTCACGAAATAAAATTCTCGATCGCTGCGCTAAATGAGATGCTTAAAAATATCGCAGGTGCGTTTGGTGCGTAACATTATTTTCCCTGCAACAGCTGGTTTAAAAATATCGCAGGTGCGTTTGGTGCGTAACATTATTTTCCCTGCAACAGCTGGTGTAATAAAGGTTTTGTGTCAAAGCGGGTGAGTCATTAGAAAATTAATATAAAATATAATGATCACAAAGGCAAGTAAATAATTTATACGACAAACTATTATATATAGTCTTTAGGGGTTGTTCAATTTAATGTTAACTAACTCTCTAATATCATTTGAGAAGAAAATCGATATTTTCCATCAACTGAGATAGAAGCAACGACTCCCACTATGATCCTTTAAGGATGGCAATAACCTGAGCTGTATGCTTTAAGACTTTGCATCTCTTTCCTTGCTAACAGTTTGCACTGCGTACACGGGGTTAATCAAAGCTAGTTTTTTCTTCTCTGATTCTTAACTAGCTACAGCCTTTCAATCAGTACCCAACAAATGACGTCCTAAAATGTTTTTATCTTTCAGAGTTATTTTTAAATATCATTTGACGTCATCGTACTTTACACGCTAAGCTCACATGGGAAGTCGCTGTCAAGGGTATGAGAATCACTGTTGTTATGTGTAGATCATTGTTTTCAAGTTTGATAGGGAAAAGATGTTTAGTTAGAGATTGTATGCGTAGCTGTATCGTTTGTGTGAGAGTGTTGTGACGTCATTGTGTAAGGGGAAATGACGCGTTTGTTTTGGTTGTTGTGGAAGGATTGATGGCGGATATACTGGATGAACTGTTTGGATTTATGTATTGAGTAGTGTTTTGGTTGGAATGATTTGATCAACAATTCTGAAATTATACATCAACCCTAGTTAATGGAGTAGTGTTAAATAAACTCCTATCTAGCTACAAACCTGTTAACGTTGGTTGTATTATTAACTGTTGATATTAGCTATACTGTTCGTGGGATAAAGGGAGAGACTTGGCCAGACAAGTAAACACACATTGACATGAGTGGATAATTATAACACAACAGATTCAACGATTCGAAATTCGCGTTATTTTATCTTAGAAAATTCACTGTAATGTAATAAATATTAAATAGCAAATAATACTATTTTTTTCGTAACCGGAAATTTGATCGGATGAAATTTCGTCTACGGTAAATTCATCGACGGCAATTTGACCAAACGGAACTATGGTAGAATGTTTTTTTCTTCAGTTTTTATGTTAAAATTTGCTTCAAATTTCTTTTTGAACGCATTATTTTGTTTTACTATATAACATTTTTAACGTGTGGCCTGAAAAAAGATTCGACCAAATTTCCGTTCGATCACATTACCGTCGATCAATTTACCGTCGAAGAAATTTCTTTCGATTAAATTTCCGGTAACCCTATTTTTTTAATGTTTAAATAATTACGTTACGATGGTTTTAACAACACCGAAATCGTGTTTGAGAAGTATGGCTTGAAAAAAAAGGATTTTTAAAGAAAGAAATAAAAAGAGAAAATTTCGTAAACTGGTTTATGTCGAGGTGGAGAGTCTATGACTCTGTAGGATGTGAACATTGTTAAGGAATTGATATGTCATGACCACTAAATTAAACGTAAATAGAACGCTGACCATTGATGAGATGGGACGCCGAAGTCTAAGGCTGTGGAGCGGTCTTCGGATGGTGGCACTACCAACAATCATTGCTTGCATGCAGTCTTGACCACCCCTCCCGGGGGGGGGGGGCTTTCATCTGAATTATGGTTTAAATGTAACCACTGCTGTGTTCCTCCATATTGTGGTTAGCTTCTGTGTACACTCAAATAATGATAGAATCTACGGATGAAATCATGAAATGTTATAGATCTTTAATATGCAGCTTTAACAAATGTGTAAAGTTTGTTTTTTTTTTAAATAACAATGGCAACTTTATTCTACACTGTAAGCTTTGTATTTGTATTAACGCCAAGAACGGTCTAGATTATACATTTAACTATGAAACTATGAAACTTGTGTAAATTTGATAAGTCATTTTGGAAAAGGAAGGCTCCTTGTTATTTTTTACAAATATGTTAAAGATGAAAACGCACGCATAACAATTTAAGCTTTGATGTTGGCTCGATACATTCTTCAGTTGTTTTCTACTATTTGTTTTGGCAGTGTAGTCTAGAGCGCATCGACTGGCCGAGTATATATTGTATATTTATATTAAAACCCTTTTATCGATGGCTGCATGACGTGTCTCATTTCACCACACACAGAAAAAAAAAATAAAGTGTTGACACGACGTTGGTTGGTTGAAGATTCGAATCAGAAATTGCTCGCAGTTCACATTCTGTGATTGTTTCTTTCAAAAAATCCAATAGCTATGGATGTTTACTTCTCAAACACAACAGGAGCAAAAAGAGAAATAATTTAAAAAGTATTACCATGAAGGCTGTGGCAGCAAATGTGTTTGAATGTGTTGAATTTTTAAAAGAGTTCTTGGGTGAGATTGACCAAGAAAGGGGTTGATCGTGTTTATTTTTCTTAAAAACAAAGAGAGACAACTGACACGCAGTTGGCCATACAGCTCAAAAGTTAATATGCTTCTCTTTAATTGTATGTCAAAACGTCTCTAATCAAGACGCCTCATCAAGACGCCTCATCAAGACATATCCAGGACATTGGGGCTGAGAAAATCCATTAAAGAAGAAACACCGCCAAATGTGACACAGGACAAAAAAAAAGCCAAATAATTATCATTAAAATAAGAGATTTATTTATTTAAAAACAGAACAAAGTATTGGTAATATATGCTAGCCGATTTTCTAAGAGTCTACGCTCAGCCTTACAAGAGAATGGCTATATCGGAACATATGCTAGCCAAGTGGTCGGCGAATGCATTAGTCAAAAGAGCCAAAAATCAGCAGCAGGAAGATTAACACAATTTTGAGCGCAAAATTTCTTTTCAAGAACCTGTCATGAACCATGTTTATCGGAGTCAATCCCGACCTGTGGCCAGCTGGCCGAGCCGCACTCATGTCGCTGAAGAGCCGCATGCGGCTCGCGATCCGCGGTTGGCCGACCACTGTGCTAGCCAATGGTCTAAGAGTCTAGGCTCAGCCTTATTTGAGAATGACGCAATGAGAAATACAGATTTTATTTTGTCATACGCTGTGTTAGTCTTAATCTAATTGACATACCCTAAAGTGTGAACGCTGAATTTTTTCTTTAAAAAAAAAACAACAAAACAAAAACTCGCGACTATTACACTCGAAACGAATTTAAAAAACAGCTTACCATATTTTTATACTTATTAACAATAGTAAAACGATTTTTATGGTTTCTAGGTGTTTGAAATTTATTAATAAAATCAACAATTTTTTTAAAGGCGAGAATAATAGAGGAATATTCCAAAATTATGTTTTGTTTTATAGTTCTGTTACTAACATGATTTTGTAATGCTTTTGAACATAGTTAAAAACGACATTTACCGATTAAAAAAAAAAATGAACAATAAGAAAAGACATTTTTCAACAATAACTGCCCCAAAAATACTCCAGGTGTCATAACTACCAACAAAGAAGGCCTTGGCCATTACAATCGATTCGTTTAACCTTTCACGGCAATTTACTCAATCATGTCAGGAAGAGTTGATCAACAAAAACATAGCAATAACATGAAAGATTGCCTCGTCATTTCTTATCGTCTTACCATTTGTGCAAAATTAGTAAATGTTGATGTTTAAACGTATGTGTTCTTCTCATAGATTTTTGGAGGGGTGTTTTTCAAAATGTGAACGTGTTAAAATGATTTAATCAAGATAACTTATTAAATGATCTATACTAGATAAGATAAGATATTTTTCTATTGAACCAAATAAAAATATGTTGATTCTAACATTATAACGGCCAATTTAAGAATTATTGGGTGAAGAGGCGCCTACCCTTGTCGAGAGATTTTAATCTGTGAGTAATACGAATGTTTGTATTTCTACCCTATGAATTTCAGTGAAAAGTTTTGGACTGTTACAAAAACAGATACTCGATACTTGTTTTAGGGGGTATACAAGTCTCCTTAATACAACTGTAACGAAAGCAGATATAAGCCTATCACATTTATTATTCAACTAACTGCAAATTAAGTGATAAGCTTTTAAAAAAAAATAATAATAATTTAAAAAATATTGTAATCTTAAACTCAGAAATTCCTGACATAAATTTATGAACATTAGGGCACTTTCAATCTTAGCATGGTTTAGATATTACTTCACGGATGAATGTTTTAAAATATTTAACTAAAAGTAAAGGCGTATCATATTAATATTTGATCGATCTCTTTTGATGGGAAACGCCCACCTTAAGATCATCACATCAACGTAGTTCCTTTCAACTCTTGTCACTAATCTCAAATAACAATTCTTTTTTTTAAAGCAATTTGTTTTCATGTTATATAACGTGTCACTTGGATTTTCAAAGAGGTCGTTTATAACGTACTCCACTTGTCAGAAAAAATTTACAGACGTTACCCTTTGTGGAAACTTCAATCATCTTTATAATTCGTACCTTGTATTCTCTGAAACAAGCACCTATCATAAAGAACAACAACAACAATTAAAGAAAAAACAATGGAAAACTTTAACCAGACCTTGCAGAGTTTTGAGGGCATGAAGTTGAATCCTGTGGTCACACATGTCGTCGTTGTTCCAATGGCGTCGCAGAGCGTGGACACCCTGCTCACTGACGAACAGTACGCCGTCATCATGGGCCTGTACTCATCGGTCGGCACCGTTCTGTCCGTGTTCGGACTGGTCACCAACGCCGTCAACGTCAAGACATTCGTGGCGATGGGCGCGGACGACGGCGTCACCGTGGCTTTCCTGTTCCTGTCGTCCGCCGAGTTCGTCTGCTTCCTGGCGGCGCTCGGCCAGGAGCTCGCGATGATCTTTTGGGTGACTGAAATGACGAGCAAGTATAAAATTGTCTTCGACTTCCACCCGATGATCTTCAACAACTTTTTCAGCAACGCTCGGAATTGCTTTTTCGACATCCCCGTGCTCATAACGTTGTACCTCGCCGTGGCGAAATGCATGTGCGTCATCAGACCGCTGCATTTTAAAAACATGTTCTCCGTCAAACGGACACTGTGGGTCATGACGGGGATCAGCGTTTTTGCAGTCCTGAGCTACCTGCCGATCCCGGCCAGCGCCGGGGTCACGTGGCAGTTCGACAAGAACATCAACAGGTCAAGGCCGATGTTCTGGACGTCGGAGCACAGAAACATCATCAAAAATGTCGTCCTCAACGCCAGGGATTCTTTTCCGAGCATCGTGTCCGAGATCGTCATCCTCGTCTGCATCTACCTGATGTCGAAATCCTTGGGTCGTGCCGCTAAATTCAGGGCTTCAACAAGGTCCGGGGCGATCGTTGAAAAGACCGCGAATCCGTACCGGGCGACCACGGCAACCGTCGCCAAAGTCGACACGAAGCTGAAAGGTGCGGAGCTCCAGGTGATCAAACAGGTGGTCGTCATCTCGGCAATCTACATCGTCGGCAACACGCCTAAGATCATCATCTTCATGGTCTTGTACATTGTTCCGGATCTCAGCTTCGGGAACCGGTATCAGTACGTGTACATCGTCATCATGAACACCAGGGAACTCATTGAGATGTTCACGTCGGCTGTCAATATCGTCATATACTACACGTACAACTCGAAATTTAGGCGTTACTGTAAATGTTAAGATTTTATTCTTTTACTTTAAAAAATTAGAAAGAACGAAAAAATTGTCTGCAATTGAAAGCTTTGGAAATTTGGGGAGAAAAACGTAACATTTGAAGGAAAACGTAAATGTTATCTTATTCTTAAAGATATTTTGAAAAATGTTAGCCCGGTATATCACAATAGTGGAGCTTCATTATAAAAACAAGACTGTAATTGTGTTCGACAATAATAATTTCCTCTCCCTCTATCTATTTCAACTTCTTTCTCCTCTCTTTCTTGCTCTCTCTCTCTGCCTCTCTCTCTCTATGTCTCCCCCGCTATCTATCTCATACAAATGATCATTTTCTCTCCTAAATGCACGCCAGTAATGTGGTATAACTTGATGTAGTCACATTATTCTTGTCACTGGATGATTACCGGGGAATTTTTTCTGCCCAATTCGTTTGAACTCAAAGTTTAATCGCGTCACCGGGGGGGGGGGGGTTTAGCACCCGGTTTTTTTGTTCTTTTCTCCTAAAAAGCTACTCTTCAAATCTCAATTTTTTACATTTCAGACCCCCCCCCCCCTTTTTTTTTTTACAACGAATCTAATCAACTTTAATCTCGGAACAGCAGGAAAAAATTATTCTTTTAAAAAACAAAATTTGAATCGATGGGTAGCGCAAATTTCACAGAATATTCTTTAGTAGAAAAAAAAATGTTTAGCACAGTTTGGACGAAGAACTGCTATTTTCGTTTAAATTAATATTCTACATTTTATCCCAAGTATTTCTTTAAATAATCTTTTTCATGACTGCTGTTAAAAAAGCCAAATGTAACACTTCAGCTTTGTGATGTATGGTTGTTTTCCGTCAAAATTATAACACTAAGCTGGAAGCAATAACTGATGTCGTAAATGTTAGGCGCAAATTTTTTTTATTTTTTTTTTTTGAAGACGCCAACTTTTCAGTTTTAAAAAAAAAGCCTATTCGTCCTTCGCACTGCATCCCCATCAGTGTTCGATGTGAACAAGGAAAACCGTAATGTTGATGTTGTGTAATGACATCACATATTGTTGTTGACGTCATTTTTGATTCTGATTTCTGATTCTGATATGCCAGTACTTGGTTGCTGCAGCCAAGTCCTGGCATATGTGCAACGGTTTGGGAAACTTTGCGGCCATCCTAACGGCTCCTAGCGGGTGCCAGGGCGGCCCTTGAAACTCTCGATTGGTGAAGTAAATAAAGAAATTGTCACCGATATCTTCCATTGAAGTCTTAAATTTTTTGTGTTGTGTTTTTTTAATAAAAAAAATTCGTCTTGTTAAGTTTTTCTTCCTTTTGGTGGCGTTAACACATGAATATTGATGTACTAGATATTACATTGCCAGCTGTGGGGCCATAGTCTTGAGCCGTTTACCCCCGCCCCTGTTATGTCTGTCTTACACTCCTCATCCTCCCTATTATGTCTGTCTTACACTCCTCATCCTCCCTATTATGTCTGTCTTACACTCCTCATCCTCCCTATTATGTCTGTCTTACACTCCTCTCTGTCCTATTACCTCGTGCCTCCAATCCTACCATCTACCTGTGCGCCCCTCTCCTACCATCTCAACCTCCACTCTCAGAACTTTGTAACTGTAACATGGTTTCCCAAACTTTTCTTTATTCTTCACCTCTTATTAAATAAAAGACTAAGTCTCTCATTCCCTTAAAAAATGTTTGACTAAGTCTCGCACCCCTTAAGAAATCTTTGACTAAGTCTCACATCACCTCAGAAATGTTTTACTAAGTTTCGAAACCCCTAAAACATTTTTTACTAAGTCTCATGCACCCTAAAAATATTTGACTAAATCTCGAACCCCCAAAGAATTGTTTGACAAAGTCTCGCAACCCCTAAGAAATGTTTGACTAAGTCTAACACACTTTAAGAAATGTTTGACTAAGTCTAACACTCTTTAAGAAATGTTTGACTAAGTCTCGCCCCCTTAGAAATGTTTGAATAAGTGTCGCACCCTTTAAGAAATGTTTGACTAAGTCTTTTATCACCTTCGAAATGTTTGACTAAGTCTCACCTACCCTTAAAACTATTAGACTAAGTCTCGCACTCCCTAAGAAATTTTTGACTAATTCTCGCAACCACTTAAGAAATGTTTGACTAAATCTCGCAACCCCTTAAGAAATGTTTGACTAAGTCTCATATCACTTAAGAAATGTTTGACTAAGTCTCGCTCGCATAGGAATTGTTTGACTAATTTTCACATCATCTAAGAAATGTTTGACTAAGTCTCGCACTCCCTAAGAAATTTTTGACTAATTCTCGCAACCCTTAAGACATGTTTGACTGAGTATCTCATCCCCTTAGAAATTTTTGACCAAGTCTCACACTTCCTAAGAAATGTTGGATTAAGTCTCATATCACTTAAGAAATGTTTACAAAGTCTCGCCATCCTTAAAAATAATTGACTAAGTCTGACACCACTTAAGAAACCTTTGACTAAGTTTCATATCACCTCAGAAACGGTTATCTAAGTATCACATCACCTAAGAAATGTTTGAATAAGTCTCGCCCCCCTCCCCGTTTTAAGAAATGTTAGACAAAGTCTCACATAATCTAAGAAATGTTTTACTAAGTCTCGCACAACCTAAGAAATGTTTGACTAAATCTCACACCCCCTAAGAAATGTTTGACTAAGTCTCGCACTCCCTAAGAAATTTTTGACTAAGTCTCGCACTCCTTAAGAAATGTTTGACTAAGTCTCGCACTCCCTAAGAAATGTTTGACTAAGTCTCGCACCCCCTAAGAAATTTTTGACTAAGTCTCGCACTCCCTAAGAAATGTTTGACTAAGTCTCGCACTCCCTAAGAAATGTTTCACTAAGTCTCGCACTCCCTAAGAAATGTTTGACTAAGTGTCGCACTCCCTAAGAAATGTTTGACTAAGTGTCGCACTCCCTAAGAAATTTTTGACTAATTCTCGCAACCCTTAAGACATGTTTGACTGAGTATCTCATCCCCTTAGAACTTTTTGACCAAGTCTCACACTTCCTAAGAAATGTTTGACTAAGTCTAACACCCCTAAGAAATGTTTACAAAGTCTTGCCATCCTTAAAAATAATTGACTTAGTATGACACCACTTAAGAAACCTTTGACTAAGTTTCATATCACCTCAGAAACGGTTATCTACGTATCACATCACCTAAGAAATGTTTGAATAAGTCTCGCCCCCCTCCCCGTTTTAAGAAATGTTTGACAAAGTCTCACATAATCTAAGAAATTTTTTACTAAGTCTCGCACACCCTAAGAAATGTTTGACTAAATCTCACACCCCCTAAGAAATGTTTGACTAAGTCTCGCACTCCCTAAGAAATGTTTGACTAAGTCTCGCACTCCCTCAGAAATGTTTGACTAAGTCTCGCACCCCCTAAGAAATTTTTGACTAAGTCTCGCACTCCCTAAGAAATGTTTGACTAAGTCTCGCACTCCCTAAGAAATGTTTGACTAAGTGTCGCACTCCCTAAGAAATGTTTGACTAAGTCTCGCACTCCCTAAGAAATGTTTGACTAAGTCTCGCACCCCCTAAGAAATGTTTGACTAAAGGTTTTGTCCCCTAAGAAGTATTATTGCATTTTTAAAAATTGAACATCTCATAATTTTATTGAAATGCAACAATAAATGCAACCTACGGCACGCGTGCCAAACGTGTGGCACGCAGAAATATTTTAAATGGCATTAAAAAAAACAAATGGAGGGGAATGGGTGGAAAATCGAAAAAAGACTTAGGAAAAAAGTGTGTATCGTAGCAGGTAAGCTTAGCGGTTGTTGGCATTCTGGCGAACTAGAAATCTCACTTGAACACAACATTACCAAAAGGTAGCCGACCCGTTACTTAGAAAATAAACGATTCACTTATAATACAAATTAGCATGTAAACGAATTTTGTCGGGTTTTTTTTAAGGACACCCAAATTAATTTCTCACTCATCCTTATAATCACTTTTTACCACAAGCCTGAAATTTCAACCTCGCACCGTGGTGTGAACACAGCAGGTTGTGGGAAAACATTGTCTCAGACCAATGTACTTAATTCAGATCCCTCTCCGACATGACTACTTCTAAAAACTACACACCCATCCCTCGTCATATCCCATCTTCTATCCTTGGCACAATGCTCCAACTGCCCTACCCTTTCCCATTCCATACTCTCACGTCATTGCCCCTTAACCCCATCCCCCCCCCTCACTAAGCCTTCATCTATCTGAACGCCCTACACTCGTCCTAACACATGTGTATAAGCTATGAACATTTCGTCAGTTTATTGAAAACTAGGCTTCTCTATTGTGTCTGAAAATTAATCCTATCCCCGCCCCCACCCCCCCCTCCCACACACACACCAAAAAAAATGTATAAATAAATAAAAAGAAGCGAAACAAGATGAAAGAAACGAACAGAAATGATATGAAAGGATCCAAAAGTTAATGATTAATAAATTAATAAAACAAAAATGCCTTTCCATCGATTCAGGTAATTTTCAGTCAAAGATGGGTGAAGGGATAATAATAATAATAATAAAGTTTATTTGAAAATCACGCTTCATCTCGAAGCGTGATACAAAGTCAACCATATTAAAAGAGAAATTTAAAAAAAAAACAACAACTATATTATACCACATTGAAATACAAAACGCAACATTACAAAAACTACATACGAGAATATCCATTTTTAGTCTTTCATCCCTTGCAAACATAAACAACACAGGCCAATATACATCTAGGAGATAATAGCCAGCGTGAAAAGATGGTAGACAACATCACCCCAGCAGGTGTTTGCGAAATAGATGTGTTTTCAATTCAGTTTTGAAAGACTCCAGTGTCTGGCTGTTTCTGAGAGCATCAAGAAGTGTGTTCCAAATTGTTGGGCCAGCAAATGCGAAAGTGCGTCTTCCGTAAGTCTCAAAGCGAACACGTGGTATCGAGAGTTTGCCACTATCGGATGAGCGGAGTTAATTAGTGGGTATATAAGTCGTCATGAGCGCTTTGAGATAGGACGGTGCCAGGTCATACAAGCAGCGGTAGCACAGAGCTGCAATTTTGTACTCTATGCAAGCCCGAACGGACCGGAAGCCAATGCAACTCTCTTAGAAGGGTTTTAGCATGGTCAAATTTGCGTTTGCAAAGAACAATGCGAGCCGCATTATTCTGTGCTTTTTTTAATTTTATCCAGGAGTGTAGCTGGAAGACCCACCATGAGAGCATTGCAGTAGTCCATGTGTGATAGCACGAATGCATCAGTCTCTTTGTTGCATCAAACGTTAAGAAAGGTCTGATATGACTAATTCTGCACACTCGCCTAGAAAACTCGCATTGCAAAGCATGTTAATGTTATTTTCCATAGTTATTGTTCTATCCAAGAAGACACCCAGGTTTCGCACTGTTTGAGCAAACTCAGTCTGTATCCCTGAGAAAGTAAGGGATAGTGTGTTATTTACTGAGTTTAGCTTTTGATCAGCTCGGTCTTTTCATCATTCAATTTGAGCTTGTTTATGTTCATCCAGTGCTTAACTGACTCCACTGTCTTCTGTGTCATACTAAGAAGCTGAGGGAACCTGGAGGGGATCACGGACTGCTGAAGTTTGGTATCATCCACGAACATGTGAAAGAGCATATAAAACTGCTTGATCACTGTACCCAGGGGCTGAACGTACAAATTGAAAAGCACCGGGCCTAGGGCCGAGCCCTGGGGTACTTCGAGTTCGATAATAGATTGCTTCGAGGTCAAGCCGTTTGCGATAACTGATTGGATTCTATTTTTCAGATATGAGCGGAACCATCTCAGGACGGTATCGGTAAAACCGAATGTTTTTTGCAGACGCTGGAAAAGTATGCCGTGGTCAAGCGTATCGAAAGCTGCCGATAGATCAAGTATTGGGCAAGTGAAAGTTAGAAGCCACCGTAAAAGACAGCAGCACACGAATTAAACAGAGAGAAAAGTCCGCCGGAAAATATACGGACAAAAAAATGATGAGTATGGATGGGGAATACGAACCAACCAGGAATTGTTTTGTCTATATCAGTATTCTACGATAGTAGCAGAAATTTTTAAAAGGGCAGAGGGTTTGACACTTAGAAAGAATGCCAAATGATAGATGAGTGAAGAGGGTGCACGACCAAAACCTCAGAGAAAAACGGCTTAAATGTAGACCAATGGGTTTAGATGGGTAGACGATGTGGAAAAAGATCTGCAGTAGCTGGGAATCCAAGCATAGAGAAAAGAAAGCATCAGTTAGGTCTGAGTGGAAGGAATAGGCGAGTAGGTTAAAATCTGACTCCGAAGTAGTATTCAAAGAAATTTTTATTTTAGATTGTAATGTTTCTTATATTTCAAATTGGAAGCAATACACTACTTAAGGCCATTCGTGTGGCACAAGCACCTTTATGATTTCAAATTGGAAGCAATACACTACTTAAGGCCATTCGTGTGGCACAAGCACCTTTATGATTTCAAATTGTTGGAATCATTGAGAATGAAAGAATTAGACGTATCACAATAGGACTTAATAATATACACATTATTTCTTTTTACAAAAATGACACAAATGTCAACATAGAAGACAGAATGATCAATTCATTGATCGTGGGCCCTTAAAATAAAGAAGAAGAAGAAGCTTTACTAAAGACTTGCCACAAGGAAACGATCCGTAAAACAGGTCATTATTGACCGCTAGAAAATTAAACATTAGGAAAAAAAAATTATTTCCAAAATCAAATCTATATAGACGCTGATAATTTTTAATTCAAGCCATTGCTACAGTATTCCATACGTGTGTCAAATAAACAAAATACATTATTGAAACGAATATTCAAAAATTAAAATTTAATTAAGTCAATTTGATCTACTTTCAAATTTCTATTTAATTTACACAGGTTTCTTTAATTTAAAAAAAAAAAAGTTTGCACTAAATGTCTCGTAACAATTTTCTACACACAGTTAATCTCCTACCTTAATTGTAAGTCAACACAAGTTCAAAAAATTACCCACAATTCAGGACGCTTTGTGACATGGCATGACCCTGTAGACCAATTATATTTCAACAATTAATATGATCACACGATAATTACCGTGAATCGCTGCAACAATGACATTGAATGAATAATTTAAAGAAAACTCTACGGTCGCAGTGGGAATCTCTACAAAAATTATAATCAATGGTACGAGTTTGAAGTAACCTTGTTGTTGACACAGTCCAGAAAATATGAGACCATGTTGAGTTCGATATTGTGTCGTCCTCAGGGCTCAAATTCCCACGCTATCTTTTCCTGGCTTGGCATTAAAATCAGGAAAGCTGATAATAGCTGCTCAATTATTCATCAATTATCAAAAGTTAGATCAATTTGAAGGGTCCGTCCTTGGGGGGCAATATCTTGTGTCATTCAATTCTGAACTATTGCTACATAATGATTAGAAATATCTTTTTTTCTTTATTTCTTGGGTTAAAACTCGCTTTGTTTGTCTTAGCAACACTAAATGCAGTTAAATACGTTGATCTAGTTAAACTTGCAGTTCAACTATCAGAAGGAAATATCCTGTGAAATATGCTTTTTAAAAAAAACACGATAATTTGAGAAATGTAAATGTACTATAGCTTTAGCTTCTTCTAAATTTATAAGATTTTGTAGGGATGTTAATCCTAGTTTGACTCTGATATGGACCACATTCTTATCATTCCAAACATTCTGTTATCAACAAAAGAAAGTCATCATAGAGTTCTTGTAATGTCCGTTTTAATAGTTCGAATAAAAAGCTTTACAGCCCTCTAACGTTCTCTTTGTATTCGATAATAAAATGGATGAGTTTAACAACAACACTTCCACATTGCTTGGCTTGCATAATATTTCACTGAGAGACGTGGGCCATTCTTCATCAATGGTCATCATAGACTCTCTGATCACAGATTATCAGTTCGCCCTCATCATGGCCGCTTACTCGGCGCTCGGAATATTCGTCTCGTCTTTCGGACTGGTCACCAACGCCATCAACATTAAAACGTTTATTTCCATGGGAGTCGATGGCGGTCTCAACTTGTCTTTCCTTTTCCTTTCGTGTTCCGAGTTCGTTTGTTTTCTGGCCGCGCTGGGCTACGAGATGGCCATGGCCTTCTGGGTGACGGAGATTGTGACTAACTACAAGATATGGTTTGATATTCACCCGTACGCTATCAACAATTTCTTCGGGAATGTCCGAAACTGTCTGTTTGAGATCCCCGTCCTGATCACAACGTATCTCTCCGTCGCCAAGTGCATGTGTGTGGTGAGGCCGCTACATTTTAAAAATATGTTTTCGATTTCAAAAACTTTTTGGGTTATGATTGGAATTTCAGTGTTCGCCATCGGAAGTGACGTGCCGGTATTAGCCAACATGGGAGTGACGAGACAGTTTGACAAACAAATCAACAAAACCCGACCGATGCTGTGGCTATCGCCACATCGAGATATCATCAAAAATATCGTGTGGTTATCCAGAGACTCAATCCCAGCAATACTTTCTCAGGCCATCATCATCGTCTGTGTCGTTGTCATGTCCAACACACTCAGAAAGTCTGCCAAATTTCGCGAAACTTCTTCATCCATCCGTGTCACAGATCGTGAAAATGGATTAGATTCTAGAAAAGGTAGGAAATCTGCAGACGTTAGAAGTAATAAAGATCTCCAGGTGATCAAACAGGTCGTGGTGCTGTCTGTTGTCTACATTTTAGGCAACACGCCGAAGATTGTCGTCTTCACAGCCTTGCAGCTGGTGCCAGACTTGACCCTTGGCAGACGCTACCAGAATGTCTACATCGTCATCATGAACGCCAGAGAACTTTCTGAAATGATCATGTCGGCTGTCAATCTTCTCATTTACTACAAGTACAACTCAAAGTTCAGACGCCACTGCCAACTAAATTTTTTTGCTTCGAAATAGAACATCGCCATTCGCATATTAATGTATCTAAAATACTTTCTTTTCTACAAGTCTTTAAGCAAACTTGGTGGCAACCATCTGAAAATAAGAATTATTATTATTATAATATATATATATATATATATATATATAAATGTTTGAAAGTAAATACTAATTATATTTTTGCTTTCGTGGATACAAGTGAAAGTTTTAATTATTAATATTCATTTTCCTAGGAATCTTGTTTTTCTCTTATTTTCAAAACACTTGCTTCAATAATCATCAGAGAGATCATCTATTGTGAGCATCTCTGCCATATTTTCTTTTCAGTGTAGCCTCCACAACCTAATCTAGGCACATTAGCACCGATGTCATAGGCACATTAGCAACGAGTTCATAGGCACATTAGCACCGAGGTCATAGGCACATTAGCAACGAGTTCATAGGCACATTAGCACCGAGGTCATAGGCACATTAGCACCGAGGTCATAGGTACATTAGCACCGAGGTCATAGGCACATTAGCACTGAGGTCATAGGCACATTAGCACCGAGGTCATAGGCACATTATCATTGAGTTCATAGGCACATTAGCACCGAGGTCATAGGCACATTAGCACAGAGGTCACTATGCACCTAATCATTAATTCATAGGAACATTAGCATCGAGTTCATAGGTACATTAGCACCGAGGTCATAGGCACATTAGCACTGAGGTCATAGGCACATTAGCACCGAGGTCATAGGCACATTAGCATTGAGGTCATAGGCACATTAGCACCGAGGTCATAGGCACATTAGCACAGAGGTCACTATGCCCCTAATCATTAAAAACTGGGTAACTTCTTCTTCGTTAAGATAACCGTCCACGTCATAAAAATGCTCATTTCTTTTTTTTTTTTTTATATTTTAAACAACATAATTTATTTAATATCTCGAAACAACGTATGTGTAGAAAGATATTTTTTAATTGCCGAAATAATGTTTACTTTATAATTTTTAAAATGAATTCATTGAAACAGTGGTCCTGAAAATATCTTAGTAATTCAGCATTAACTGGTTTATAATTACTTGCACATACGTAAGTTTTTTTTTTTATCCCCTTGACTATAAGTTTGCTTAACTTATTAAGAGTCATCTCGAGCAACACTAAGTTAAACGAAAAACCTATTAGCCACCCCTATGGGAGCGTGCACCTCACGAACTCTGACGACCGCTGTGCTAGGGTTTAAAATGAAATTGAATCAGTGAAAATTAAACAAATATTCGTTTCAACGTTAACTGCTGGTATAAAGAGTGTTAAGACATTTAGAAAAACTCAATGACCACCCAGACAATTTTGAATAAATTGTTAAGAGTTACATGATTCACGCATTGTTTTAGCAGCGGCTTTGATTTTGTAATAGCAATGAGACCGGGGNTATAAGATATTTAAATGTGCACACATTTAAACCTCATTTTAATTATGAGTTATATCGGCTACCAGTGGTTTAGCTAGGGAATTGCGGGGGTGGGGGGGGGGGATGCGGACCGCACCGGTGGACACCGTTTTAGGGGTGGCACCCAACTGAAAAATTGCATATCTACACAAGCACAAACTGCTCGGTCTAAGCGAGATTATAAAGGTTAACCGCTCACACGTCCAGTTTTTCTCAAATGTAACCATTAAAAATTCAAGGTTGACCCTTTGATTAGATCAGAAAAATAGTCATTATTCAACGCCGATTGAAGTGTTTGGTAACTTCCGTAATTGACAGAAAATTATATTTATCTAAATTCTGAGAACTAAGTTTTTCCATTGAAAACAAATACGATGTGGTCGGGTGATTCTAAGTACAAGACTCGAATCGGTATAAATTAAAAATATTAAAAAATAATTTGTACCCATTTATAGGGTCAAACAAATATATAATTTTACACACTTTACAATCTTTTAATTATTAATTCTTATTTATTGAAAAGTTTTTTTTTGAAGACATATACAATATTATGCATCAAAAACCAGAAATACTCAAAAATTAATATGTTCACCGATTCGTCACTAGTACCTCCCCCTTTAACATTTGAGCACGATTGTCCTATTTCGACTGCTGGATTTTACCTGCCACCGTTCTGTGTTGTCTTTTGCATAGTGCTCTGACTGTTGCTTTTGAACTGTAGTAAGTATTTTTTGTTTATTGTTGTCTTGAAAACGACAAAACTAAAGCATTTTTATTGTTCAAGATTATATCATGCCACACGGCGTGCACAAATCTAAACGACCAAGCGGCAGCCAGGAGCAAAAAAGCAAACAAGAAAATTAGTGACTCACTAAAATCACTAACAGGATCCACGCTTCGATATGTCAAGAAACCAAATAATTCCCAGGGTCAGGGTTGAAAAAGATTGACGTGATCATAAAAGTAAAAGACACGGATGTTTGGAAACAAACAAAGATACTGCAAATGTAATGGTTAATAATAAAAACTGGCGAATTTCACCAGATTCTTCTCTGTGGAATGTACCAGTTCCAGATTGCTACGCACTGACTTCTATCGTGAGAAATTAATCTCTTTTTTTAAGTTATGGTTCGTTCACACAGTGAACAACAAAGGACGATACCATAGAGAAATACAATAATAAAGTTGCGAGACGCAAAAACATTTGCCAATTACAATTATTAAGATTTAATTTAGTAATAATACAATTACAAAACAAAAGAAATATAATTACAAATCATCAACTTACAGAATATGGGAAAATCTTGTACTGGTACACAATTAGTACAATGTGCCAAATAGTAATGATGAATGAATAATGCGAATAAACACATATGAGCACACAAAGAATAATACTCGTCTCGTGAAGTTAAAAATATCTATCAATGTCTCTCTCCGTGTCTGTCAATCCCTTTATATATGCAGTGTAAGGACTGCCTTCCAGAAACTACTCATTTGTTTACGTTTCTAGAACAAATCGCGATCATTCGACAAGATACTTGGAGACATACTATCCATGTTTAATTGTTAGTCGGTAGTAAACACGATACATCACAGAGATATGCCCCTCTATGAACGTAGCGTGTGCTAGGAATCTAATTTGGGTCAATCAAAGTTCACGCACGGGGAAAAGCGTCATACATAACAAGATCATTTTGGGTCAGAAATTATTAAAACATTGAGTACATCGAGTCAGAACAAGGACAGACCATTCAGAGTAGTGACAAGAGAAGATTCGAAATCTAAAGGTGGTGTACGCCTCCTACAGGAAGAATGGCGAGAAAATACTGCGGTCGTGGATGGTTTATTCACTCGTCAATCAGACATTGTACTGTTTTTTCTGCAGATTGTTTGTCGTTAATTTTACAGAAGCACCATCCAAATTTGTTACTGGCTTTGATAAGTGAGCTCAAAATTACAAAATCATGAAGCATCGTAAGATCACCTTTGTTGTATTGAAAAGTGGAAACCATTGGCAGCAGGACTTAGAATCCACAAAAGAATTGAAGCCGAAAGTATCGCTGTGATGGACAGGGAGAAGAGAAAGTGGAGGGATATTCTACACAGGTTGCAACGCAAAATCTGACATTTCGTGGCAACAAGGAAGATGAATCTTCACTGAATAAAGTAAACTTTCTTGAAATGGTTGAGATGCTATCTAAATATGACCCAGGGCTAAATGAGCACCCAAAGGAGTACATGTACAGTAAAGGCATCGGTTGAGATGCTATCTAAATATGACCCATGGCTAAAATAGCACCCAAAGGAGTACATGTACAGTAAAGGCATCGGTTGAGATGCTATCTAAATATGACCCAGGGCTAAATGAGCACCCAAAGGAGTACATGTACAGTAAAGGCATCGGTTGAGATGCTATCTAAATATGACCCAGGGCTAAATGAGCACCCAAAGGAGTACATGTACAGTAAAGGCATCGGTTGAGATGCTATCTAAATATGACCCAGGGCTAAATGAGCACCCAACGGAGTACATGTACAGTAAAAGCATCGGTTGAGATGCTATCTAAATATGACCCAGGGCTAAATGAGCACCCAAAGGAGTACATGTACAGTAAAAGCATCCGCATCTAACCTTTCACCAGCAACCCTAAATGAATTTAAAAAGTCCTTGCAAATCATGTGAATGAGATTCTTATCATGGATGTAAAGGCTGCGAGGTATTTTGGAATTATGTTCGACAGTACACCTGATACATCACTCACTGACCAGATGTCAGATGTGTGAACATTCACAATGTGAAAATTGAAGTGAGAGAAGTGGGTTTTTTCCCGTTAAGAGGGAAAAAATCTCAAGACCTTAATTCTGACATTCTTACAAATCTAAAACGTGATGCATTAGACATAATGATGTGCAGAGCTCAAGGTTACGATAATGCTGCCACAATGACTGGAATCCATGGAGGTGTTCAGGCCTTTCTGAAAAGAAATAATAAGAAAGCGATTTTTAATGGATGCGTGAACCATTCGCTAAACGTGTGTGGTCAACACGCGTTTGCCTAAAATGCTTCATGTATTACATCTTTCGAAACTCTTGAAAGAATATTTTCCTTGTATGCTGCATCCACTCATCGATGGTATGTTCTAACTGAAGACACTGGAACGTCGGTAAAAAGACTGCCAACAACACGTTGGAGCGCTCATCATGCTGCTGTTAAAACAGTGAAAATTAAGTGTGATGAATATTTGGCGGCGAATGAAGCTCTATGTGATCTTCTTGAAAATTTGGATACAAGAGATACAGCACAAAGTCTTTTACATACGGTCTGTGATTTCACGTTTATCTGCTACCTTTACCTTTGGGCTGATCTACTTGAAGAAGTTAATCTTACACAGCAGTATCTGCAGACTAAAGGCTTTCCTTTACTCTTGACAAAGTGGTGACCAGCTTAGAGGTCTTAAGATTGTTTCTGCGCGAAAATTGCTGTCGATTGGTAGAACATACTATTGAAAAATCACTTTAAAATTCAAACAAGATTGGAATTTCGGTATAGAGAAGATTAAGGTTTCAGAAGAAAATGACAGTAGAACACTTAATAGATGCTGGACCCAGTAGAGAGATGCGGGATTTTATTGATCGATTTCATTCTGAATCCCAGATCAGATCATCAGCGATCGAGGAAGGTGCAGATATGTTTGGGGCTGTTCAGTCCAAGAGTCTGCTATCAGCAAGTGAAGAAGAGTTAGTGGTGTCCAAAATTAACCTCTTTCGCTGATGAACTTTTAAAAGAAATATCAAGGCTTAGAAGACACCTAATGGCAGCTGATAATGAATTTCACAAAGTCATGGACTGGTCAGTATTTGAAGTTTTGAAATTTATAGCTGAATGGGACTTCCTAGAATCTCTTCCAAAACTTCGGTAAGTCTACAACTTTTGCTTACGATCCGTGTGTCTCTGGCTTCACGTGAGCAGAACTTTTCAAAACGTAGGCTTAAAAAAACTATTTACGATCCACCATGGGACAGTGAAGGCTTTCTGATTTGGCTCCACAACTACTATAATTTGAAATTAATGCGGGGAAGGATATTGATTTTTATCAAGTCATTGACATGTAGAAGCTTTGAAGTCCAGGAAAGGAACATTTTAAAGTATATTTATGTAAAAAAAAATATAACTTAACGTTGATACAGTTATTAAATTAATTTTTCATTAATTAATTTGTTCTTGTCTTTGTTATACTGTGGACCTATTTAAACAAGAAGAAATATATCGTGAAAGTCGGGGAGGGGGGGGGGCACCATGAGTTTACCGAACCGAGTAACACCTACCCTAGCTACGTCACTGTCGACAACAACTGAAATGGATTTTGCAAAATGCGTCTAAACTTAATTGAAATTTCAAAATAAGTTCAAGTCTAATTAGAAATACTAAAAAAAAAATTAACTTAACGTTGATACAGTTATTAAATTAATTTTTCATTAATTAATTTGTTCTTGTCTTTGTTATACTGTGGACCTATTTAAACAAGAAGAAATATATCGTGAAAGTCGGGGAGGGGGGGGGCACCATGAGTTTACCGAACCGAGTAACACCTACCCTAGCTACGTCACTGTCGACAACAACTGAAATGGATTTTGCAAAATGCGTCTAAACTGAATTGAAATTTCAAAATAAGTTCAAGTCTAATTAGGAATGCTAAAAAAAAAAACAACTGATGGTATTCATTAGATCTTCAAATTTAACTTCTCAATTTTTCCAAGCTGGGAATTTGAAGGCTATAAAGAATTTGAAAGATATTTGACGGTTTGATAAAGGATAAAAACAAATATTTATGAATTTAACACATTTGTTTGTTTGTTACTAAATGAGTCAAACATGTAGGCCATAATAAGGTGCATGTATTAAAAAGTACTTTTGACAAAATCATCATTGCCAATGAAAGCAGTAAATTCAAGGACACTGTGAATAAGAGTCTTGTGTCCTCTGAAGCTGGGAGTTGTACGCCTAGTGCTGTTGTTATTGACAGTCACTAGCTATAATTAATTTCAATCATCATCAATTAAAAATAAACCCAATCAATCTGAACCACGTTACGGTGATTAGAAATTTTAATTACAACCTTGATCGAAATGCTTGTCTGCGTTCACCGCATAGTTTTATTGTACGTGGTACGATGTGCTAACTAGAAAACAGATTCATAAGAACTTTGGTTGGCAGAATCATGTTCAGTCTTCAACCGAGTTGTCTCAGAGACGCCTACAGTTTAAACTCTATAGTGTGAAACAGTTGATTTTACACTTGTGCATTTCAGAGACGCCTTCACTTTAAACTCTATAGTGTGAAACAGTTGATTTTACACTTGTGCCCTTCAGAGACGCCTTCACTTTAAACTCTATAGTGTGAAACAGTTGATTTTACACTTGTGCCCTTCAGAGACGCCTTCACTTTAAACTCTATAGTGTGAAACAGTTGATTTTACACTTGTGCCCTTCAGAGACGCCTTCACTTTAAACTCTATAGTGTGAAACAGTTGATTTTACACTTGTGCCCTTCAGAGACGCCTTCACTTTAAACTCTATAGTGTGAAACAGTTGATTTTACACTTGTGCCCTTCAGAGACGCCTTCACTTTAAACTCTATAGTGTGAAACAGTTGATTTTAGACTTGTGCCCTTCAGAGACGCCTTCACTTTAAACTCTATAGTGTGAAACAGTTGATTTTACACTTGTGCCCTTCAGAGACGACTTCACTTTAAACTCTATAGTGTGAAACAGTTGATTTTTACACATGTGCCCTGGATTATTCCATTTCCCCAAAAATAATTTTTAAAGTTAATGAAATTGTGTTTATATCAGCAGTGAAAGTGATTATAAACGAAATGTTTTAGATGCAGGGTTTGATTTGTTGCCTCAAGGAAATGGACGATAAAAACATCTCAGGCCTGACGATCGTTGCGTCGAATGATTTCGTTGTGAACGATGTCAATAACGCTGTCAACAGATCTTCACCTACCCCCAAAACAGACACTCTGATCACAGATTACCAGTTCGCCCTCATCATGGCCACTTACTCGGCGCTCGGAATATTCGTCTCGTCTTTTGGACTGGTCACCAACGCCATCAACATTAAAACTTTTATTTCCATGGGAGTCGATGGCGGTCTCAACTTGTCTTTCCTTTTCCTCTCGTGTTCCGAGTTCGTTTGTTTTCTGGCCGCGCTGGGCTACGAGATGGCCATGGCCTTCTGGGTGACGGAGATTGTGACTAACTACAAGATATGGTTTGATATTCACCCGTACGCAATCAACAATTTCTTCGGCAATGTGAGAAACTGTCTGTTTGAGATCCCCGTCCTGATCACAACGTATCTCTCCGTCGCAAAGTGCATGTGTGTGGTGAGGCCGCTGCATTTTAAAAATATGTTTTCGGTTTCAAAAACTGTTTGGGTTATGATCGGAATTTCAGTGTTCGCCATCGGAAGTGATGTGCCGGTATTAGCCAACATGGGAGTGACGAGACAGTTTGACAAAAAAATCAACAGAACCCGGCCGATGCTGTGGCTATCGCCACATCGAGACATCATCAAAAATATCGTGTGGCTAACGAGAGACTCGATCCCCGCTATAATCTCTCAGGCCATCATCATCGTCTGTGTCGTCGTCATGTCCACCACGCTAAGACGATCGGCAAAATTCAGAGAGAGCTCAACGCCGAGTCTTTCACATCGTGGCGACCAGCAGCCTGATTCGAAGAAAACCAGCATAAAATTGCTCAGTAGACGATGCACCAAAGATCGACAGGTCCTCAAACAGGTGGTCGTCATATCTATTATCTACATACTCGGCAACACCCCGAAGATTGTCGTCTTCACAGCCTTGCAGCTGGTGCCAGACTTGACCCTTGGCAGACGCTACCAGAATGTCTACATCGTCATCATGAATGCTAGAGAACTTTCTGAAATGATCATGTCGGCTGTCAACCTCCTCATTTACTACAAGTACAACTCAAAATTCAGACGCCAGTGTAAATTCTGCTGACATGAAAGTACAACGAGTGAGCGTTGTGGTATAGAAGAAGAGTGATTTTCGTTCTGCTTAAGCGTTGTGATGTCAAGGCCGATATGCTGAGACAATAGTCTTGTTAGGTAACGTATAGATATTTAAGATATTCTGACAAAGAGTGTAATTTTATTTGGATTTTTAGCTTCAGGCTTTGATTGCAGTTCATCGAAATACAAATATTTATAGTAAATATAATGTACAATGTTTTGTTGGGTTGGCCGAGTGGTGTAAATTTCAACTTGGTGGTCTGGAGTTCAATTCCAGGCAAGGCCCAATCAAAGCAGAAACATCAACAGCACTCCGGGTGGATGAGACTCGTTAACCTTGGATGGCAACTCATCTAAGAGAAGGAGACTCTGAATTTCAACCCAGATATGGAGTCCCGTAGGCGGATAACGTTGGTACAATGAAACATTCCGAAAACTCCTGCGAGTCCACTGGTGCCAACCTGTATCATCCACATTGGGACGGACGGATGCCTTTGTATAATGATTTGTTCTTTTGAAAGTTGTTGAAGTCTCCAACAACCAGAGACAGTAATATGCAGTAATTTAGATGTGTACAAAAGTATGTGGTCTATCCCAAAAATAGTAATTAATGTTTTTTTTTTAAAAGTTGTTATTTTATAGCGATACCCATGTAAGGTGATAAAAATTTTTTTATAATGTAATTGTGATAAAAATGATTTAATAAACTTTTTCAACTGTTACGGAACTTCAAAGATTATTTTGTTTTGATACACTCATTGAAGATCTTTTTAAACTAAACCAAATCTACCAAAAAAACAACAAAAAAAACAAAACATCATTTAATCTCAAAGGGCAAACTGGCTTATGTGCTGTTTCTGATATATTTACTTATAATTGTTATTAATTGTCTGTATATATGTTCAAGTCGAAAGACATTTTTAACAGAAGGAAACATTAATTTTCTTCCTTTTATTACTCACCTTTTCTATTACTTGGTAGCTTAAATGTTTAGAGATATACTTAAATATTTATAAACAGAATTATTTAAGGTTTGCATTCTTAATTTACATACACAGTCTGACAATGGCATACACAGACATACATGTTGTCGAGAATACAATAGAAATTAATTAATGTCATCCTATTGGGTTTTTTTTTTTTGGTTGTTTTTTTTTTTTTTTTTTGCGCAATTTCAGAAAATATTTAAACAAAAATTAAAAATTCATTTTTTTGTTTTTTAAAAAAA